AAAGAGACTGGGTACATCACAATAGCATACTTTAAGAAAAATGGAATCCTAGTGCACAGTGTGTTGGTACACACACACAATGTCCAATAATGTCTACTCTTTATACACATCCTTCATTTGATAGCAAAATTCGTGGAAGAGCCGGCAATGCCGCAACTGAAAAAGTTTTTTTTTTTGCTTATCAGCAGCACTGTGGATCGATACTTAACAAAGGCGTTTCAAAAAACATTTCTATACTGGCATAGTAGTGTTTAAATTCAATGTGCATTTGAAGAAATTAAATGTTTTCAATTTAATGTCAGCCTTACAATTTAGAAAAACAAAATCGAGGAAAGAAATGATTTTTGTGTCTATGCACTCATATTAATGTTTTACAGTGTAGAACCTCTATATAATGAAGTCGCTAAATCCCTGAAAAAAGGTCGTTAGATGAAAAATTCGTTATATAGAGGTTCATCTTTTAATATACTTTATAAACCACATAAAACACATTTTAAATTTATAAACACTATATTAAATAAAGTAATTATCCACACCTTTTTTTAAAATTAATATATGTTTATTTTATATATTTTACCCATCAAAAAAGAAAGGAAGAAAAACTTCAAGGAAAACAAGTTAAATGAATGTCAAAAAATATATTATATTTTCAATATTGAGAAAATGGTTTAAATTAAAATTAATGAAATTTAAGGACACTTTCTAATTTAAAGCATATAAGTAATATGAAACATACATTACTTTATAATTAGACCACGAAGACACGAGGCAAATACACTGAATGTAAAAGGGGATATCGAAGAATGTTTCTAGTGAACTGGGCAATGGGGGTTAAAGGTTGCACTTCTTGGATGAAACATCCAGAGCTCTAATGCTCTCGGCGAGTTAGGATCTAATAATACCAGTTCAAGATTTATGACCACCATAAGATGTGCTAAAGAGAGAATAATTTGAAATGTTCAGAAATACTTTGAAATTAGGGAGGGAAAAAATTTAACCACTATATATAAAGAAAAAATTCGTTATACAGAAAATGCACTTCGCTATAGAGAGGTTATTTTACGAAGAAAATCGTGAAATGTTCTTGGTTCCAGGAAAAAGTTCGCTATATAGAAAAATTCGAAATATAGAGGTTCGTTATATAGAGGTTCCACTGTACTTTTCACTCTTATGCAAGTAGATGAGTTTTTAACGTCTATGTTAAGTATTAGTCAAAGTATGAAAAATTCTCTAGAGGAGCGGCACTTTAGGCGTTAACACACTGGTGGGGTGTCGTCCTCGTCACTTGACCAAGTTTCAAAATGACGAGGTCCGTCGCCAAAAGCCCTCGTGTAGCTGAACAAGGTGACGTTAATATTCACTCACTCACTCACGACGATAAAAAAAGGATGGAACCTAAAATATCTCATTTCAAATAGAGGGAGAAAGAAATTTTTTCCATCCATTTTTATCATGCCATTTTCTTACTAATTGCAAGATAACACAATTTCTCACTGGTCACGGTAACTTTAAAGTTATTTGAATAAATTTAATTTTGTTCCATTATCTTCCTACGATTGTTGCGTTGTGGGTAGTAGCGTAACGTAGAAAATTAGGGACCCTCCTGCAAAGTCAGGTTTAGGGCCCCCTGGAATCCTGCACCCCCCCGCGACGTGGGGATTGTGGGAGTGTACGTTACGCCACTTATGTTGGGGGTGAGGAAGATGTTGGACATGGGCTTCTATGTTTCAAGCTTGGGAGAGAAGAAAGATCCTAAGGCAGGCACTTAGGGCATTCCTATAAACTAGCCTCCAGATTTTCACCAACTTATTTCCACCAGAAGTTATTTTGACCATTTCTGAAAATTCATAGTAAACATTTAAAATTCTTCAAAGCTATTAAATTTTCTACTCCCCCCCTTCTGTAATGTGTTTCATGCTTTTTTCTGTAAGCTCCGTGTAATTTTTGTGATACACGGGAAATTTTAAGCATTTACAATAAAAAAAAATTGAAAAAAATTACAGTTTAAAAAAAACTAAAAAAAAAAACCTTTATAGTTAATAGAACGAAGTTGTAACTTAATCTTTTACTCGCCAAATCTGGAAATGGGATCTGGGATTAGTCGCCAGATGCGGGATGGGATCTGAAAATGTGTGGGAAATCATTAGTCCTGATGATCTTGATCAGGACAATAAACCAAAATTATTAAATTATTGTATTGTCATCAGTCCTGGACAAGTGAGCAAAATTTTAATCTGACCTATCAAAATGGGTAAAAATTGAGTTCAAAGATTCCGTTGCATACAAGTAAAGCTTATACAAGGGTGTTAAAAAGCAATTAAAAGTCCAAAATTTGATAATTTTGAACTCATTCATATTTCTCTATCCTCTGAATTTGATTTGAAGATCATTAAATTTCAAATCAAAATCAGAGGATAGAAAATACTTACAGTAAAAAAAAATCAATCAAAACATTTATAAAACATCAATAAACTTGCTTTTTGGAAGATGGATCACCGATTACCTCTACCTCTGAATAAAAGGAAGATCATTCTCCAGTTTTCGTATAAGAACCTTTGTTTTACCTTTGGGTGGCATGCAATAGCGCACACAGGAATTTTTCAAGGGGGGGGCGGTCTGGGGTCGAAAGTTCACTATTCTTGTATCATGCTCCTTTTGATTTTGTCGATTTTCGGGAACAGAACACAGTAAAAAATTAATTATTGAATAAATAATTAGCATTAATTAATAAAATTAATCATTAATAACGAATACTTAATTAAATTTTACGTACTATATACTTTGAATTATAATCAATCGAAAAAAAATCAAGGGCTTTGTTGGGGGGGTCCGGACCCCCAGGACCCCCCCTTGTGTGCGCCACTGGTGACATGTCTTTGAAAAGTCGAAACACATAAAGAATATTCGTAACACCAAAGTTGTATAGAACTAGGCTATAGAAATCAATGAACTGCCATCCAACTGCATTAAAACTCTCAAGGCCCACCCTCTCTATTGTAAAGCGCAGTCTCAAATCGTAACATTCCATTCTTTTCCATTCCACACAGCCCCTTTCAAAACATCCAACAGCCTTCAACTTTTCAATAAACAGGGATACCTAGATGGCATTTACGAGCTGTTGTGGCAACCCAACCTCCATACAAACCTCCTATGTTCTCGGCATACGAGCCGAAGTGTGAACAACAGGGATCCTATTGTAGGCAGGATTATTCCAGGTCTTTGTCACCTAAGTCGCGTCGTAGGTGACGAGCTGGTCCCTAGTTCTCGCCCATTTTTAGTTCCGTTTGAAGTTTCGCTCGCTGCTCAAAAAGATAAAAAAGGGTGGTAGTTGGGATGACAGGGTTTTGAGCATTTGAGTGATATCCGCCACAATAAGCTATCATTGTAAGCGCTTCCTTCGGAAGATGGGGTTCGGAATCTCAGTTGTGACTGTTCGTTCGTAAGTTTATTTTTAACATCTTGCATATAATTCTTCAAAGTTATACCGATAGAACTGGTTGATAGGAGAGTTTTCGTTGAGTTTTTAATAACTTCAATTAGCGGTATTTTCATCTGTCTAATTTTGTCAAAAATGATAACCATCTATTACATGGGTGGGGCGACCCTAATAGAGTTTTTCATGGCTCGCCCGAAGACAGAACATTTACTTTGAATCGAGATTTCCTACCGGAGTGCGACCAAAAATTCGTTTTGTATTTTTCACTATTAGAAAAACATAATTCCTTTATTATGAAAACGAAATACCTGAAAGTGTTTCCACGAAGGGATCATCTGCAGAATTTGAAGGACAAGGTCACAAGATCTCAGGATTTAAAGAAAAAATGAGCCTAAATTCAATTTGCTCTGTAATCCAGTGCTTCTCAAACTTTCAATACTTGTGATCCAATTTTCAATCATAACTTTCATCGCGCTCTCGTGGCCGTGGTAGCGGAGTGGTAAAGATGTCGGATCGTGGCTGGCCTTCTCACGAGTTCGAGCCCCGTCCCACTTAAGACCCGCCATGTATGGGAGCGATGCACGTTAAATCTGTCGAGAACTGAAACGTCCTCCCGTTGGTGTGGTGTGGTAGTTAGGAGAGGGTGATGCCAGCTCAGGTGTCATTCACGTCACTTGACCATCGTTCAAAGTGGCGTGGTCCGTCGCCCAAAGCCCTCGCGTAGCTGAACATTGCAACGTTAATATTCACTCATTCATCGCGCTCTTCTCCATACAATAACAATGTATTGAATTCAATACTAACGTATTTGACGAAAAGCTGCTATGCGATTTTAATTGTAAACCGTTCAAATTATCAAGATAAGTACTAATTTTTTTATTAATTTTGTATATGACACAAGCCCATGGGAGTCACTAGTAATGATTAATTTTGTTCTTAACCTAGTATTGATAAATTAATTATTAAATACTTTGTGCAGTGCTGATGCATTGCTAAATATATTATATCCGTGGTAACGTGTATTTAACTTTTATCATGTCAGAATGTATTTTGTTTTTCTTCCTTTCAGTAAAAATTTACAGTTTTTTTAAATCTTTTATTTTCTACTTTTCGATACGCTCGCGCACTCCTTGTAAAGATATCACACCCCCTCCTACTGTTTGAGAAACGCTGCTGTAATTCCATTACTGCCGATATTGAGATAGGACTTGAGGTGATACAACTTGAGCTTATTGAAGTTAAATAACAGTGTGTGTGAGTGAGTGAGTGAGGTGAGTTGAGTTGTTTAATGCTATGGCATTAACTTACTTCTACAAATCTTTGTCAGCTGAATAATTTCCCTGTCTGAAGAAATTTGCCGGAAAATTATTCTATGTAATTTAGTTGACATATATTTTTGTGCAAAGTTTTCATTGCATGAAAATCAACAAGAATAAATATAGATGGAAGTTGGCTGACATAAACTAGCATACTACGATGAGAATTAAAACAAGCAATCTCACTTCAGATTTTAAAAAAAGTGTATAAAAGTATGATAAGGTATATTTTTATCTCATAGTCTGCCGCCCTATCCAGTATGGTGGTTATGCCACTCGGCTTGTAATCGAGGGGGTTCGAGTTCGAATCCCGAGTAAGGCATAAATGTATCTTTGAGAAAAGAAATCGAACTTTCGCCTGAAATGGGTTCCCGTCTCGAAAGGAAAGCAACGTGTCTCTTCTGATTTTTTCCTGGGATCATCGTTTGTAATAAAATCTGTATTCTTCTTTGATTGTGTTGTATGTGTCTGTTCATCTATCTCACGTCTTTCGTATGTATCCCAGTAATAAACACTCGACAACAACATCTTAGTCTAAAATAAAATGTGCTTATAGCTGTAGATATGAAATTAGCGCAATAAATAGATGAAATAAAACTGCCACTATTTTATTTAACTTATATTTACTATTTTTTATATTGAATGCAATTATTTTAAAGAGAGCCAGCCCTCCAGTATCTTCTGTTCCTACAATGTGGCTCGCGAGCACTGGCGGCGTAGCTAGTCCTGAGTGGGCCCTTTGTCGAAATTCTTTAAGGGCCCTCTTTTGGAAATAGAAGTTTCGTAGATGGGACCGGTGGCGTAACGTACACCCCACATTGCGGGGGCCCAGAGGTCCAAAGCCTGACTGCCGCCAAGTACCTACCCTTCGTAGAATCTAATTTGGGGGCCCAAAACCTGACTTTGCAGGGGGGCAAATGTTCTGAGTTACGCCACTGGGTGGGACCATTGAGAACACTTCACGATTCTTTGCTTTCACATATTGAGCCCCTGTAGCTTGGGGACCCCATATCATTGATACGACTGATACAGAGGGTAGCTACGCCCCAGGACTCAAGCCAAAACAAGTTGCCCACTCCTAATCTATTGCAGCATTCAGCGCATTCAATTCAACTAAATCGCAAAACTTTAAGGATAGAATGGCTGACTTGTGCCTAGAGCAGCGTTTATCAAACTGTGGGGCACGCCCCCTAGGAAGCGTGACAATTCTACTAGGGGGGCAACATATCGAAAAGTCGAAAATTAAAGATTATTTAGAAAAATATATCTATTTATTGAAAAGAAGCAAAACAAAATACATTCTAACACATTTACATTGACATAATATATTTATAAATGCGTCAGTAGTGCACAATGTACTTAATAATTAATTTATCAATACTAAGATAGAAATATATTTAATAGTTACTAGTGACTTCCATGGGCTACAAAATTTATTACTATCATGTTAATTTGTGCGATTTATAATTAGAGTCGTGTTGTAACTTTATATACATCATAGTACATTATTAATACATTCTATGTATTGTTATTGTACGAAGGGGGGGCGACGAAAATTATTATTGAAAATTGGGTCACAAGCATTGAAAGTTTGAGAAGCACTGGTCTAGAGATATCTGTCATGCTGTGTGTGTGTGTGAACTGAGTATTTATTAATGTTGCATCTCGAAATTAGAAGAGGTGTTTTGGCAACGTATCTCGTAATTTTAATTCTCGATCAAGCGACGAGGAACACCTGGGTTGGAATAGCACTCTCCAAACTTCCCCATCCCGTCAAGTGAGAACTTTGTGAGCCTCGACAGATTTAATGTGCATCAACTTTTCTACAAGGTTTCTACATTGAGATCATGTCGATTAGTTAGTTGTTTGTAGGTATATGACTAAGCAGATACTTTAATAGTACCAGGACTCGATATCACGACTCGATAGGAATGACGCTGAACATGACTACTCAGCCGAAAATAGAACAAAATTGAATGGTTAAGTCAAATTTTTAAAAAATTGAAGCAAAAAATTATATTGTATAAACAGCTATTCAGAAATTCGTTACCTTAAGGTATCCGACTACGTTCGGAACCGTGATTTTCCAAAAGCGTATAAATGGATAATATTAATAATATTTAGTGTCACTTAGATTAGAAAACGCATATAAAAATGTTTTAAGAATAGTATTACAATAAAAAATTATTTAAGTACTATATTTTGACAAAAAATGAACATAGAATGACCCATTTTCAAAATAGTCTCCTTTTCTGAAAAATGCTTCTATTATAATAATATTTTGCCTGTATATAACTCAGACCGCTGTACAGAGGCTGAACTAGAATTTTTGAAACATATATCTTAGAAGTGGATTAATCCATATTTTATGACAACAGAGGGGAGAAATTTTAAGAAAAAAAACGCCGATAATTACTTTAATTGGTAGTAACACTGAAAATAATGAGAATTTTTCAAAAATCCTTGCTCAAACTCTCTGGAGAAGAGAAATCTTTACTTTATATAAACAAAATATTATTATTATAGAAGCATTTTTTATAAAAGGAGAACGTTTTGAAAAAAGGTCATTCTATGTTCATTTTTTGTCAAAATATTGTATTTAAGTAATTTTTATTTTGTCATAATGTCCTTAAAACAACTTTATATGCGAGTTCTAATCTAAGTGACACTAACTATCATGAAAAGTATCCATTTATGCGCTTTTTTAAAAATCACGGTTCCGAACGTAGTCGAATAGTAAGGTTACATTTTGCTCGTTACCTTAAGGTTACACATAACACATCTTGAACCTTATTTTTACTCCAACATCACTTTTCCTATTTCTCAGACTTATTAGTGGTAATATGTCATGAACTCGGGGCTAGCGTTGTCAAGTCATGGGATCGAGCCTTAACGCCACTGAAGTCCTTAAGTTACTTCAGAGTGAAACGTTAACTCCTTAACTAGGGATAAAAAAGTTATGCGATTCGCTCCCCAGTATACCCCCTTTTTTTTACATAGAAGCATATGCAGTTTATTGAGGGGGAGGGAAAAGGAATAAAAATAAGAACATCCTTCTCTTAAAAGAATAAGTCCTTCGTAAACACTGTTAGTCATTTTATTGTATTCCAAAACCTTTGGAATAATTATTACTAATAGGAAAACAAGGAAAAGAGTTCGTTCTTTGAAAAGACGTATGTATACGTCTAGGGATTTAACACACTGGCTGAGCGAGACGTATATACGCCTTTGGCACTTGAGGAGTTAATAAAAATCAGTCATTCTGTTAAGTATTTCACATAAATAATTTTGTTTACAAATATACAACAATGAAAAAAAAAGCTTACAAAGATGAAATAACAGGTAAAGAATAGAAACGAATCTACATCCTGATAGCAAATATTTAACCCCCTAATAGAAAATATTCTACCTTACAAAACTTAATTTAAAATGTTTCAATAATGTTATATCTCACATTCACAGTGATCGATACAGAGTTTAAGTGATAGTCAACATTGAGAGGTCGGTTGACCGCTGAATACATAATTAGGTCAATTTAGGAATATATTGTTAATTTTTTCTACTGAAATGCTTGACTTTGGTAAAATGCTTGATGTAAATTAGACATATATATAAATATTAGTCATTCTTAATCTCATCGAAGCAAATTATACTAATGATATTTAAACTATCATCATTATAATCAATGCTAATGATGTTAATTTTAAATTAACTTTATTCTCTCACTCTGTAACGATTTTTTTTTTCTTTTTCAATCATTAAGCATAATTTGCTAAATTCACCGAGAAGTTAGTTAATTGGAAAAATACACATTCTGAAGGTTAATAGGAATTTAAATTCTATTTCTGGAAAGTTAAATTCCCATATTTTTATTTGTTTATTTTTAATTTTCTCTTGTCTGAAAATTCTTTTAATTTGTAAATTTAAAAAGGTCAAATACATCGAATGTATCATTTAAATTTATAAAAATTGATATCAATTTAATTCTGATTGAGCAATATTAACTCAAGTTAGCTCGTGTGCGCGTGTTTTTCATTGTTTAAGTTGTCAGTAAAAATAATCTCAGTTTTCGTAGTTATATAACTAGATATTTTTATTTCATTGTATCTGTCAAAATTAATTTATTCCTATTTTTCTTCAATTAATATCTTTATATTCTTTTTCTCGTAAATTCTACGAAGTATCTTGTTTTGCTTAATCATTTTCCCGACTGATTTCGATAAACTATGTAAAACTCCCCCTTTACAGGTATGTATTTCATTATTGCTATAATAATATTGTTATAAAGACTTTATTAGCTATGAAAGTCCCCAAATTCCCGGTAGTATCATACCCTAATACACCACCCAACATATTCTTTTGATTTTGTGGATTGTCGGGAACAAAAAACAATAAAAAAATAAGCAATTGAAATAAATAAGTAGCAAAAGTTAATAAAATTAATTATTAATATAAAAAGTTAAATTTTACGTACTATATACATAGGATTATAATCAGTCGAGAAAAAAAAATAAGGGACATGACGTATGTGGGGGGCTCCAGACCCGGAGATCCCTTTCCCCTTGTGCGCCACTAATTGCTATTCCTATTTTTATAAAAATTCTTTTTTTTTAGAATTATATGGGCATCATTAATAAGAGCACAAAAATATAATAACACATTTTGGCTGTACTTACGTATTTAAAATATTTTTAGCAATGAGAAAAACTACACATTTTTTCCTTCAACTAAATTTATCTTTTATTTTTAAAAATAATATTTAAAAAGTTGAACGCTTTATAAAAAGATAAAGTTTTAGAAACCCTTTATGCTTTCAGTGGGAAAGAAGTCCGGATGAAAGGATACTAATTACTACAGTGCTTCTCAAACTTTCAATGCTTGCGACCCAATATTCGATCATAATTTTCATGGCATCGCCTCCCCCCCCTCTCCGCTCAATAATAACGCATTACGTTTAATAATAATGTACTTTGACGTGAAAGCTACAACCGACTTTAATTATAAATTGTACAAATTATTCAGATAAGTATTAAATTTTGCATGCGACAAGCCTATAAAAAGTTACTAGTAATTACTAAACTTGGTATTGATGAATTAATGATCAAATACATTATCCAGTACTGATTTATTTATAAGTACAGTCGAACCCCCATATTACAAACCTCTATATTGCGAATTTTTCTGTACAGCGAACTTTTTCCTGGAAGCAAGAACATTTCAAGATTTTCTTCATAAAATAACCTCCCTATAGCGAAGTAAATTTTCTATGAAACGAACTTTTTTTCCTTATGATCCAATTTTTTTTTTTTTCTCACTATTCCC